CTCTCCCCTCCTGGCCCCCTTCCTGCCCTGGGCAATCTGATGCAAATTAAAGTTTGAGAATAGTTTTGAGAGGATTGTCTCAAGTTAAGAGGAGTGACATTATGAACGTTCTGGAAGAGGAAATCAACCGACAAACTGGAGTGGAAGGAGAGAGCTGAGGCTGCTCCTGGTCAGACGGTCCTTGTTCCTTCCCTTCCATGCCTGTGAGGTGCTCCGCGCCCTCGGAAGGCCACTTTCTGCAGCTCAGCCCCCGATAGCCACTGCTCTCCTTCGGCAGACTCTTCCAAGGGAAACACCTGCTTCTGTCCCCAAGTGGGGTTACCCTCAGATCACACGGCTCCCCTTGGGTCAGGCAGCTGAGGGCTCCAACTGGAAGTGGGGGTTTGCTTAGAAGTGGGGGCTGGCTATTGGTGTGGAGGACCTGTACAGCCTCCAGGAGCCTCCAGAATGAGGGGGGAACTGCGAGTGAATATAGAGTTTTCTTTTCCACCAGGAGCGAAAGTCTGTTTCCTTAAATACTCACAGGAATCTGCTTTAAAAACAGGTATTCAAGGGACCAGCAGTTGGCGTAATGGCTATGTCGCTGGACTCCCATATAGTCCCACGGTTCAAGTCCCGGACCCAGTGGCTTAAACTCACACTGGGTGCGTGTGCGTGTGTGCCCAAGATCCCTAGAGGAGAATGGAGGAGAAGGGGTTGTGGTGTGGCCATCTTCCCTGGGGGGGTGTGTGTGTGTGATTTCTCACTGTCTCGCTGTCTTTCTGGCGAGCTCGTGCACCCTATAGGAAAAACCTCTTCAAAAAACAAACAAAAAACAGGCATTCAAACAAAAACTTGTGTGAGGGTGGGTGAGCGTTGGGACCAGCAGGTGGCATCATGGTTACATCGCTGGACTTCGGCATAGTCGCCGCGCCTGACGCACCTGCGTGCCCAAATCCTGAGAACAGAGGAGAAGGGATTGTGGCAAGGCCATTTTTTGCTCTCTCTCTCTCTCTCTAGCACATGCGCCCTATAGCAAAAAAACTCTTAAAAACAAACAAAACTTGTGCTGGAACATTTGTAGGAGCTCGGTCCCAGGAGCAGGTCTCAGTACAGAAAGGGCACACACCATGTGCACCACCTTCCGTGGGTAAAATGCGGTCTTGTGCATGGTGGAATATTTGACCATGGAAAGGAATGAAGTTCTGACACATACTACAACATGGATGAGCCTTGAAAACCAAGTTTGACAAATAAAATAGAAACACAATGGGACCAGCAGTTAGCATAATGGCTACGTGGCTGGACTCCCATGAAGTTGACCAACCGCGGTTCGAGTTCTGGACTCGGTGGCTTAAACTCACGCCATGTGCGTGCGTGCCCAAGATCCCCAGAGGAGAATGGAGGAGAAGGGATTGCAGCGTGGCTATCCCCCCTGGGGGGTGATTTCTCATTTTCTATCTCTCCGTCTCTGTCTGTCTTCCTGGCAAGCGCACGTGCCCTATAGCAACAACCTCTCCAAAAGAAAAGAAACACAAAAAGGACAAAACATTGAATTGCAGTGGGAGAAGCCAGTCACAAAGGGCCGTATATTGTTTAATGCCACTTAAATGAATTACTCAGAATAAGCCAATCCAGAGACTCAGAGCTGGGTGGCCAGGGCTGGAGGCCGGAGGGAATGGAGGGTGACGAAGAGGAAATCAACCGACAACCTGGAGTGGAAGGACGAGCGGGTGCTGGTTCCCCCGGTGCGAGCTCGGACTGGGCGGTGGGTGGCTGCCAGCACCCGCATGTACATAAGGCCCCGTACTGCCACGTCATATCACATTCTTACGATTTTTCAAAAGTCCAGTTAGTGATTGTGGCCGG